CACAAGACGACATCAAAATCCTCTGTGAAAAGACGAATTCCATATACAAAGAAATCAATATAAAAACTGGTGATGGCATCATCGAACTATTAGCAGATGCTTACAAAGAAGTTGACAAACAAGATCATCAATATGCTGAGTTTTGTATCATTCAAAATAAAAGTCACAATAAGTGTACTTTTCTTTAAAGCCATTGTTACTAGTATACTTTAGAGGTTCGCGGTTATTAACTTTCAGTTAATAACTTTTAACTTTAACTGAAATTCAAATTGTTTTTTGAATTTAATAAAAATGTTATAAAGATGGTCAAACATAATTACGTTTTGTAAATTTTTGTAGCAATACAAATTTAAATAAAAGTGGTAAAACAAAAAATATAAAAAACAATAAACTTTAAATGATATTTTAAAAACATGTTGTTTAAATAAAATAATAAATAATTCCCAAAAATGTTTATTTAATATACACAATGTTTTAAATATATTCATGACAAAATTAACAAAATCAAACTTTTCAAACTTTGCAAACAAAAATCAGATGGTATATATTTCACAAATATTTCACTTTAAATTAAACAATAATGATTATTAAATTCAAAAATATATAAAAAATATTATAATTTATTGATTTTTTAAATTTTATAAATACCATGATAAAACAAAATGTGAAAAATAATCAAAATATAAGGTTGAATAAAAAATGCCAATTAATATTTAAAATGGTATATTAGTTATTCGAACATTTTTGTAATAAAATATAATAGTTAACCATTATATTATTAAATTTTTGAATATGCACATGTTTATATGTACTTCTTTCAAATACATAAACTCAAAATCATGTGAATTTTTTAAATAACATGTATATTATGAAGTCATATTTATATGTCACAATACTTTTTTAAAAAAAAGAGTGATACACAAAATTTTTGTGTTTCAAAGATGTCAATTTAAGCACAAAACGAGATGATATTTGTATAATTATAAATAACAATTAAAAACAAAAGTTTGTTAGAATTGTAGTTTGAAAATACATATACAAATTTAAATAGTATTTTTAAATTGTAAATGCTAAAAACAATGAAAAATATAGTGGTTCATTAATGCCTGAGTTATAAACAAACATACTTTGACTTATCTTATTAAGAATCCAAATTATTTTAGAAAATAATTTCATTTGTTTAAATAGTTTAACAAACAAAAACACAAGTGATAATTTATTGTTTTAAATGTGTGCAGAGATGATAAAACGCGTCTAAAAAGTTTGTATGATTTGATTAATACAAGTAGTATTTTAATAAAATCTATTGATTAATCTTATTAGTTTATTGATCGAATAATTATAGTTTTAAATATTTAAAATATGTTCGATTCGTGATTTGATCAACTGATAAACTAATAAACATTGAATTAAAATACTATTTTATTACAAAAATAACACATAAATACTATTAAATGACACCAAAATTTTATTTTGTTAATAATAAAAGTTTAAACTCGAATTTCAAAACAATTGTAAATTAATTACTTATCATAGCAATGATGATATCATATTGTTTTTTCCATACTCATGGAGAAAAACGAGTTGTTCCAAATGAATTGGTGTTAATGTTGAACGACGTGGAGTATGTACTAAAAAACATTCTGAAAACAATCGCTCTGAAGATAAAGAAGATGCAAGCAAACACAAATATTTTGGTACAAGTCTGCTAATAAGAGGATAATCACAACTGTGTTCTTTCCACCATTCCAGTGGATTGAAAAATGATTTTTTATCAACAAATCCCGCATTTAAATATTTTTCAACTTCTTTTATAACAAGTTGTCGGATATCAGTTGGATCGGGTATCCCCTCTATTTCAGAAGTAAAATCAATATCAACATCTTTCTTTTCAACCTTATTCCTACCATTTACGACTTCTTCTGAATTGACTAGAATGACTTCATCAATAAATAGATTCATGTATATATTTCTACAAATTCAATTTCAAATCCAGTACACTCAATAACGTGTTCACCAAATTTTCTATTTTTATAATGAGGATTAAGCAATGATGAAATAATATAATTTACATATTTTCTTATAGATAATTCTCCATGAAAATAACGATCAATGATTTCTTGAACTAATACATTAATTATTTTTTCTTTGCAGCACAAGGACTTTCCACATTAATTTGTTCTGTTTCCAAATCAAATATATTATCCAAATCTTCAAGTTGTGTAAAGTTGTTTATTTTGTCGTTTCCAATGGATACTTGATGTTGAAAAGTTGTTGTTGTATCGTCGACGTTACCAGGAATAGAGTCATACTTTATAGATAACAAAAATAACAGTTTTAATATTGAATAATGTATAATAGATAGTGTTGGATATGTGTCTGAAGAAAAACGATTTATTGATAAATTTAGATATTTAAGAACATCAATATAATTCTTTATGTCTTCTATGTCTTCGTCTGTAATATAATAAGTGGACATAAATATTTCTTCGTTTGTTTGGGTTCGTTATTTTGGTTTGTCTTTTCTTTATCGCAACGTTCAAATATTTTACAATTATTAATATTCTGTTAACCATTAAATAATCACCAAACCATCTTGTTTCAACTGGTTTCACAATTCGAAGTGGTGATTTACCATCAATTGTTTGTGCTTCTTCAAGCCAATTTTTCATTTGTATACTTTTGCTAAAAAGATTAACTACTCTATGGAGCTTTACTAGAAGTAAGTTGTATCTTTTTACTTCTCTTGTGGATCTCTCTGTTATTAGACTAAATGTATGACAAGAACAACCAATAGATGTCTTTCCTGAATCTTTGACTGCTTTAATTTGATTGGCAGCGTTATCAGTAATAACAACAAAATTGTCTTTTAAATTCCAAGTTTTGAAGAACACTTCCAAATTGTGTTGGATGTTTGCAGATGTTTTGTCTCCTTCAATTTGTGCTATTTCTAACAAGACGTTATTTAAGGTGTAATATTTGTCAACATAATGCAAAGTTAGAGACATAAACTCTTCTTCACACATATATGTGCTCCAACCATCACTTGTTGTACAAAAGAATAGTGCTTCATTATGCCTGTTTTTGACATTAAGTTTGGCAGCATCAAATTATTTTGGAATTACTGTCCGTGCTAATTTGTCTTGTGTAAGTTTTGGTTCATTTAAGTTTGTATGGGACATCA